TATTGGGAGCAAAGTGCTATGACTACTTTATGGTTGGGGTGATCACTGATAGTTCCTTCTTGCGTGACCCTTCGGGGCTGTTTGCATTTTAAGAGGAGAGGAATGGCTCTACCTTCTGACCACACCAGTAGATTTTGCTGCAATAGGGTTTGTAGGAAGGCAAAATTTTCTCCACGCAGGTCGGTGGAGCGGAAAGACTACGGCACAAGAGGCTCAGGTCCTCCTCCCAGTTCTGCTGCTAACTCACCAGAGACACTGGCAAGTTGCTTCCCCCATAGAACACACTGACTACAAGTTCTAATACTGGCACCAAGTATTTACCTCCCTGTAAACCGTGTGCCTTGCTGGAATTAAGGCTCCAAGGCATAGAGGGAATGCCCACCTTCTCTTTTGGCTCCACCCCCCTTTGGGGGCTCCTATGTGGGGCCTGTCTGCCATTCTTTGTGTCACCCTCGTGGGAAGAGGATTTGACTTCTGTCCCCATCCTGTATTGATCCAGATACATTTCTAGAACCTTCCTAAATCTTTTTTTTTTTTTTTTTCCTGCATAAGGACGGAGGAAGCAGAGGGCATTTTGGATCCCAAGGAGTCGGAAAAGTTAAACTTTAATGAGAAGTGCACTCGCAGCCCACTACTGACCCAGCTCTGGGCGACAGCCATTCTCGGGTCCCTCTCAGGTCAGGAGCTGCTGGAGCCTGGCACCAGTTGGAGTAACTGGGCTTCTGTCTGTCTGTCTGTCTGGGGTTTGCTGCTGGGTCACAGTGGGGACCGGTGCATCTGGGATCTCAGGTTAAGCAACCAGTGATACTGGATGCAGGCTTGTCTATGGAGTCAAGGTTCTGGACAGGCCTGGGGCAGGTGGGCCAGGTCCTCCCTGTTTCCAGACCAGCCTGCTCTGTGCTTGGGTCTGGGATAAATCTTGTTCCTGGAAATTACATCCTCCTTAAGTCCTGCCCTAGTGCAAGAGCTCAGTATTATTTCTTGGAAACCTAGTTTCTCTTTAAGAAGATATAATTGATGGGCAACTGGAGAGCATCTTGAGCGAGAATTGAGCTTCCCGGATTCGTCTCACTTACTAACTTAACATTGATCAGGCCAGCTAACATGGTCTCCTGCCTCCAGGAATTCCCCGAGTGGGAGGGTTCTCAAAGCAGGCTTCCCCCAAGCTAGATGGAAGCTCCCACACTGCCCGTTGTGGTATTTTCACAATTCACAGAAAGGTTAGGTTAATGGATTGAATTTTCCTCAGTTTTAATCCTCCCTCCCTGCACGTTATCCCTAAAACATTAGTACAAGCTATAGCTCATCTCTAGATTCTGGTGTCCAGTAGTGCCTGATCTGCCAGCAGTCCCATTTAGGTAGTTGTAGGAAACTGCATATCTGATGCTTCCAAGCCTCCAGGAACCGTGTCGCTAGGACAAGTCTGATCTGGAAACTGCAGATATGCCCAACTGGAATGCGGTATGATCAGTGTTAGATGCTAAATGTAGGAACAACATGCTGGGTCTTCATTTTGCCCCTGCCACCAACTTGGTGTGTGACCTCGGGCAACTCGCTTCTCCTCTCTGGGTCTTATATCTATCAAAGTTAACAGATGAGCGTCTTGGACTATTAATAACTACTGTGGTCATGGCCACAATTTATTGAGCACTTACTAATGCTCGGCACTTTACATGCATCATCTCATTTGATCCTCACATCCACCGTGTGATAAGTCCTATTCTGATCCCCATTTTACAGATGAGGAATCTGAGGCTCAGACAGTAAATGGCTTATCTGCCAGTGAGTGGTGAGGAAGCCCTTTGCTACATGGCAGGGCCAGGTTAGGGCTGAGGGTGGGCCTTGGGCAAGTCTGAGAGTTCTTTCTGGCAGGCACGGAGGACGTGCGTATCAACGAGAGGACTGTCAGCCCCTTCCTGCAATTGTCAGATGATCAAAGGACCCTGACCTTCAACGCCAAGAAGTCCAAGACCTGTGCAGATGGCCCGGAGCGCTTTGACCACTGGCCCAATGCCCTGGCCACCACTTCCTTCCAGGCTGGGCTGCATGCCTGGACGGTGAACGTCGAGAACAGTTGTGCCTATAAGGTGGGTGTGGCCTTAGGCCAGCTGCCCCGCAAGGGTTCTGGCAGTGACTCTCGTCTGGGCTACAATGCCTTCTCCTGGGTCTTCTCCCGCTACGACCAGGAGTTCCGTTTCTCACACGATGGGCAGCATGAGCCCCTGGCACTGCTGCGCTGCCCAGCTCAGCTGGGGGTGCTGCTGGACTTGCAGGCACAGGAGCTGCTATTCTACGAGGCAGGCTCGGGCACGGTGCTCCACACCCACCACGCGTCCTTCCCTGGGCCCCTCTTCCCAGTCTTTGCTGTGGCTGACCAGACCATTTCCATCGTCCGCTGACCTTTAGCCATGGGGAGACCAGGTCTACCTCCCCACCACTCTTTCAGGCCATATTTCTACCCAGTGTCTTTTTCCCAGATGTTGCCTGTGCCCAATGGGCAGCTTTTAGGAGGGGTTCTGGGTACAACCATTAAAAGCCAGGTATCTGTGGGGAACCTGCTACTCCCTGGGCCTTGGTTTCCCAAATGCACTGTGCATCTGCCCCTCTGAGGGTGTCTTGTTCACCACTTTCTCTCTGGCATCCAGCATGGTACCTGGTGCATAGTAAGCGTGCGATAAATATTTGGCCAGCAAGTGGACGGATGGACGGATGGATGGTGGATGGATGGGTGGACGGACAGGTGACTGGATGCACGTGGTAGACTCTTCTGGAGCAGCACTGCCCCCAGTAGATGCCGTCCTCTGGCAGAAAAGCCTGTGGCTGAAGCTCTGTCATCCCCTCAGTTCAGTGTTTCTCAGTCCTTTTCATGACACGGCATACAGAGGAAATATTTTTCTAGTATAAGGACAACCTGGAAGGGATTCAGAACTCCTGCCAGGCTGCTGTTGGCCAGAGGACTCCGGCCTGTAGGGCTGTGTCCTCACCCAGGTTTTGCATAGCCACTGGGAAGACTGAGGGGACCCTGTCTCCAGGTAGCCTGGCTGCGGCACACCCATCGGCAGGGCTCCAGCCAGCACCCACCCGTGGCAACAGGAATGAGCTTTGTCCCCAACTGCAGCTGATGTGTGCTCCCAACTAATGCCTTCTCTAACATAATGTGGGGACCAGGGTGAGGCCTTCAAGCCAGAAAGGGCTGAGGGAGTAAGAGGGCCAGCCTTAGGGAACATGTACATTATTAAAGGTTTTCAAAGACTGAAAATTTCTTCCATGTTCTTTGTTGGTAATTGGGCAAATCTCCCAGGTGCCAGCTCAGATCTTAGTGGTATGTTTGCTGGGAAAGGGATATCTTCCTCACCCCCATCCCCGTTCTCAGGTATAGGTGGGAGGCAGCTCAGCATACACAGCTGAAAGAGCCTGGAGACAGGGTTCTGTGCCCTGCATTGCGGGGACCAAGGGCAAGTCCTCTGAGGAGGTCACTTTAGAACAGTGCTCCTCCCATTTTGTTTCATCTGGGAACACAGTTCAAAGGCAATCTTACCTGCAACTTACCTATAAGGCTCTTGGGCTCAAAGATGGGGGCCAGAGGGCTTCCCTGGTGGCGCAGTGGTTGAGAGTCCGCCTGCTGATGCAGGGGACGTGGGTTCGTGCCCCGGTCCGGGAAGACCCCACATGCCACGGAGCGGCTGGGCCCGTGAGCCATGGCCGCTGAGCGTGTGTGTCCAGAGCCTGTGCTCCGCAACGGGAGAGGCCACAACAGTGAGAGGCCCGTGTACCACAAAAAAAACAGAAACAAAAACAAAGATGGGGGCCAGAGCCCTCCCCACTCTTCAGTTTGCTCAATAATTTACTTGAAACACCGCGTGGATCAAATCAACTTTTTCAGTTGACATGACTTCTGAGGCCCTTGCAGCTCTGAAACCACAGCTCATGACCCATCTCCTCACTGCCTGACAGTTGGGAATTAATGTTGGGTCACCTGGCCTCAGCACCAAGCCCTAGGAAGAGAGACCCACAAGAGGTTCGGCCAAGTCTGAGAAGAGCTTCCCTGCCTTTGCCTGGGCACAGTCTCTGCTCAAACCTGGGTCAAAGCCAATTTCTTCTACTTGGCACCCAAAGGCCCCCAGGCCATGCTCCCCCAACCACCAGTCCAACTCCCAACAGCAGTCTTCAGTCCACAGTTTGTGGGCCCACTGCCAGGAATGCCCCTCTTGTCCCTCTGCCCATCTACGGGCCACCCCCAGCTCAGGGTCCACTCCAGAGTCCTCCCTGCCTGTTGGCACCAGAACATACACTGTGTATGCCTGTTTGTGTGCTTTTTACTTGTGGTACCCCGTGCCTGGCACTGGGCAAGGCACAGGTGTCCAGTAAATACGACGTAGAGAGGTGTGTGAAGGGGGAAAGGCAGGAAGAGACGTGGAATTTTAAAAGCCTAACCTACTTCAATCTCCAGTGATTCCCCCCATATTCCCTGCACTCCTGCCACCTCGTGTTCCAGTCCCTGTTCCCTGTGCTTTCCCACCCCCAAGCTATTCCTATGACTGGGGCGCCCTTCAGGACCGCCATCCTTAGGACACCTTCTCTGTTCTCCCTGGATCCCCACTGCATTATGCCTCGTGTGACATGGATCCCATTCTACTTGTAACCTCGCAGTCAAGCCAGTGGGCTTCGGAGTGAGACACGCCTAAATGAGAACTCCAGTACCCGCAGGTACTAAGCTCTGATCTCAGGCTTCTCAGCGGAGAGTCGCAGAGGCTTCAGGGCCTGAATGAAGGGCCCCAGGACCTCTGCTTCAACCCTAGCAGTTTCTCATTTTTCCTGATTTGCATGTTGGGGTTCCACATAAGCTCTCCCATGATGAAAGGCCCTGCTGCTAAAAAGAAAGTTTGAAAGTGTTGGTTTTGAAGCTAGTTGGGCCCTCATGAATCTTGTTGGAGGTGAGGGGGGACTCATCGTAGAAAATGGACACAGGTGTGAGGAATGAAGCATCTCAGAGACCAGGAGCTGGTTAGTGGCGCAGGGTTGAATGCCCCGCATTCACTGCTTTATAGTTGGAATGCATTATGGAGGCTGCGGCGGGTGGGGGGGTGAAGGCCAGATCTCAGGGAAAGAAGGAGCTCCCTGTCTCCAGTGTCTGTTGGGCCTGACCGCTTCCCTCGCCAGGCTCAAAGCCCTGGGGGTGAGCCCTCCAGGCGGTCAAGGGCAGGCAGGAGATGGGACAGTGAGGGGAGGATGTGTTCTTGGGGTACAGAATCCTTGACCGCAGGGTCCAAAGGCTCAGGGCCAGCCACCAGGAAGCTGTGCATACCCACGGCCCGTGCTCCCTTGTAATCACATTGGTAACTGTCCCCAATGTGGGCTGCCACTGCCGGTTCCACCTGAGCAAGGCGCAAGGCCTCATGGAAAATGCGGGGATCGGGCTTGGGCCAGCCGGCAGCCTCGGAGGTCAGAACAAACTCGAAGTGTTCCTGCAGACCAAGACCCGCCAGGATGTCCTCCAGTCGTCGGTCAAAGTTGGAGACCACTGCCAGCCTCAGACCTCGTTTTCGGCACCCCCTCAGGGTGGCCTCAGCCCCCTCCAACACCTGCCAGGTGCGGGAACTGCTGAAGTCCTCGTACAACTGGTCAGCGATGGGGGCCACAGCCTGGGCATCCCGAATGCCTGCCTGGTGGAAGGTCTGCAGGATCACATCCAGCCACCACTGGCGGGAGGTGAGGCCACGGCTCAGGCCATAGCTGGGGAAGCTGTGGCTCTGAGCCCTATATGCCCGCCCGAAGGCCTGTCCCAGGGCCGCGGCCTCCACCTCCAGCCCGTGGGCCCGGGCCTTGGCGGCATATTCCTCCCCCACGGGGTGGCGGAGCCTGAGCAGCGTGTCCTTCACATCCCACGTCAGCAGTTGTAACTGGAGCCGACGCGCCATGGGTCTGCAGGAGGGGGGCCAGGCCACCCCACTTCCACCTCTGCCTCAGGTCCGGGGGCCTCTAGGGGAGGTGGAGCTGGACGGCACCGCGCCCAACAACCTGATGGTCTTCTCTTTCCAGGCTTCGTGGGTCAGATCTGCTGGCACTTAGGTAACGTCTTCACAGCAGAAGATCCTGGAGTGTGAGGGCAAGTGAGGTGGAAGTTCAGGCCTCGGAGTCTGAGACAGACTGGGTTCAAATTCTGACACTGCCAACTCACTGTGTGACCCTAAGAGTGTCACTCTCTGAAGCCCAGTCTCTTCATGTGTAAGAAGAGCACAGTGACTCAACCTCGTAAGACTGTTGGACTAAATGAGATTATCTGTTCACTCCACCTATTATGTGCTAGATGTTGGGAAAGGACAGATTTCTAGGCCTCATGGCATGCACAGGCATTAAAGAACAGAGGATACAGCTATCGGACAAAGAACTACATGAATACTTAAGCATAATGAAGACAGCATGTACCATGAGGAAGGATATCAATCCAGAAACCCGATTTAGTCTTTGTTGTCGGGGAACTTCCTAAGCAAGTGACGCGTCAGTGGAGATCTGAGAAAGCCTGTTCAGGAAATGGAGATGATTAAATATTCCTGGCACTGGAAACAGCAAGTGCAAAGGCCCTGAGGCAGGGCAAGGAGTCTGGTGCTTTGGGTAGATAGGGGCCAGCTCAGGCAGGGCCTCGTAGGTCAGCTAAGGAAACAATTATTATGACTGCTATTACTATTGTTCGGAATATGAAAGACAGCAGAGTCTTTGCAGACCATCTGACCCACCCCTTGACTGTTCAGCCGGGAAAGACTGAGCCAGAGAGGGGCAGATATTCGCCTAAGGTCACAGGCAGCCAGCGGCACAGCCAGGACTAGAATCCAAACCTCCACATTCTCTGGCCAGTACTCCCTTCCACTGCTTAGACGTACTTGGATTAAAAAAAAAAAAAAAAAATCTGATTTTAGTGAACCTGTACAGCCCAGGACAAAAGGCAGGACAGAGCAGCCTGTTCCTACCTGTCTTAAAGCCTCTCTCAGCCCCAGATGATGACGCCTGCCTGGTTGGAGAGCCAGTGAAGGATTACTGACCCAGTGCACAGAAAACAAATTCCTCAGCCTAAAGTCTAGAGGCTGGACGCAGCTTCTTGCCCCAGACGGAACTGATTCCAGACATGCAACCTGTTCAGCTAAAACTTGAGGGACCAGAGTTCAGAGTGCTGCCAAGTTGTTGCTGAGGGACGGACTTGGCTGGTGAATCTGGGGACAAGCCCTAGAGGAAGTTTATCAAGGAAATGAATTTAAGTCAGTCTGGAACTTAGGGAGACCCGTCCAAAGACCCTCTCACTTTGCAGATAGGTAGACGGAGGCCCAGAGAGGGGCGGGAACTCGTCCAGAGTCACGCAGGGAGCCACTGGCATAGCTAAGACTAGAACAAAGGGCCCACAGCGTTTTCCATTTCTGGAAGCCGAAGTTGGGGCCTCCGGCTGCAGGCCTGAATTGCTCACTCTCCCTCCCCACCTCCAGGGTTCGGTGAGGCCAAAGTCCAGGTAGCCTTCTGCTAGAGCGACATCTCTACCCCTGCGGTATGCAGCGGAACCTCCCGCGCCAGTCCCCGGGGCACACGACCCACCTGCCTCGCGGGGAAGCCGGTCAAGAAAGAAGCCGCAGCCGCACGCCCGCTCGGGAAAGGGGGCAGCAGCTCAGCGGCGACCCTCTTCTCCCGTGTCCCAGCACTCCGCCGGCCTCCTCCGCCTGCCTCCTCCGCCTCGCCTCGCCCCGCCCCCTACGCCTCGCCTCGCCCCGCCCCTACGCTTCGCCCCGCCCCCTACGCTTCTCCGCGTCCCCTACGGCACGCCTCGTCCCGCCCCGCCCCCTCCACTTCTTTCTGGCTTCTCCGCTCGTTCCCGCTGCACCTTCGCCTTCCTCAACCCGGAACTCTAGTCCCCGCTCACCGTGCTCCTTTGCCCTCCCCGTCCCTTCCGTGACCCTCTCTGCCCCTTCTGAAGACCCACTCCTCCTCCCAAGGATCCGGACACCGCCCCCCACTCCCCGGAGGTAACCAGCCTGATTTGGGAGGGGGGAATTTGGGTCCCGGTCTGGCTTGCTGAGTGCTGGGTAAACTTGGGCAAGGCGCTGCCCCTCTCTGGTCTGAGTTCCCCGTCGGTACTAGGAGGGAATTGCTTTCAGGTGGAAACCTGTCTTAACCCAAGACAATTTGCTGAGGGTAGAGTCCTCTGCAGTAACCTGCTGATTTATTTTTTCTTTTGATGAAAAAAAAGTTGTCGTTCATCTCAAAAACGTTTGAAAATACAAAGTGTACAAAGTGAAAAGCAAAAGCCCAACCTCATTCATTCACTAACTGCTTATTGAACATCTACTCTGTGCCTGACCCTGTTCTTCACGGAGGATATAGCGAGAAATAAGACGGGGTTCCTGCCTTCATGCAACATGGCATGGCAGACAAAAATCAAGATTTCAGAAGTGGTAAGAGCTATGGAGGTAGAAAACAATGGTTTCATGAGCAGTGACGAGGGACCTCTTTGGATGAACCAGTTAGGGGAGGAGCAAAAGATCTGAATGGCAGCCAGGTGAAGCTTAAGGACAAGTACAGCTGAGCAAGGGCAATGGCCTCCCCATTTCCCAACCACCTCCCAGGGATTGCTGCAGTTTTGGTTGTTATGCTATCAGACATTTTTCTAGGAGCACACAAATATGCATGCAATCTTCTTTCTTCCTTCCCTCCCCCCCCCCCCCCTTTTTTAAAAAATAAAAACAACACATCCTTCTATATGCCAAGGCTGGTCTGTTCATTTCATTCAGAACTGCCTTACCCTCACTGGGCTCAGGCCTGTGAGGAAACACAAAGGTCAGAGTCTCAGACCTTGGCTGGCAAGGGAGAGCCTGACTCCAGGCCTTTCTCTGAGTAACTTTTTCAGCTGAGAAAAGGGAGCCTTACATGTCACAGGAAAGCCAATGAGAGGTCCTGCTATTTTGAAACAAGCTTCTTTTTGATTCGTCAGTTCAAAAATGGGTCCACTTCCTGGGTATAGTTTCCTTCCTAAGGCAGATGACAAATTCCTAGGGGGTTTCATCCTGTGATCTACCCTGTGTGGACTCTGGCCTGGTGATTGCTCCTGGAGGGACCTGGCCTGTCACAATACTGGCTGCTGGCTTAGGTTATTTCTCTTTGAGAAACCAAGCTTCTTACATGAGGGCTTTTTCCTTGAGATTCTCATCCAAAAGCACTAAGTAAACCCAGGATGGGCCCCCCACACACACATCTCTCTCTCTTTAAAATTTCATTTAGGGAATTCCTCAGTGGTGCAGTGGTTAGGACTCCATGCTTGCCAAGGGTGCGGCTTCAATCCCTGGTCAGGGAAGATCCTGCAAGCTGCGTGGCGTGGCCAAAAAAAAAAAAAAAGAAAAGATCAAATTTCATTTACTTATTTTTTAACTTTTATTAAAATATACATAGAGAAAAGTGCAAAGAAGTGTATATGTCCTTGAATTTTTACGAAGTGAACATACCTATGCAGTCAGCACCAAGACCAAGAAAAAGAACATCTCCAGAACCCTGGTGTCCCTGTCCTCTCCAAGTCACTTACTCCCATGAAGGGGAACCACTACGCTGACTGCTAAATTCATGGTTATACTTGTCTTTGAACTGTATCTAAATGGAACAATACAGCATGCACTATTTTGTCTTGCTTCCTTTGCTCAAAATTTTAGTTGTAAGATTCATCCATGTTGCTTTGAGTAGTTACAGGTCATTCATTCTCCTTCCTGTGATATTCCATTATATGAATACCCCACATTTTATTGTTGATGGGCATTTGGGTTATCTCCAGTTTTTGGTTATCACAAATATTAGAAAATGTTGCTATGGACATTCTTGCACACATCTTTTGGTCACATGTGTACACATTTCTGTTGGGTAAACCCTAGATGTGGAATCACTAGGCTATACATATGTGTATGTCCAGTTTCAGTAGATGGGGCAAGTTTTCTGAAGTGGTTGTACCAGTCGTGTGAGATTCCACTTGCTCCACAGTCTCAAAAATTGGCATTGTTGGGCTTCCCTGGTGGCGCAGTGGTTAAGAATCCGCCTGCCAATGTAGGGGACACGGATTCGAGCCCTGGTCCAGGAAGATCCCACGTGCCGTGGAGCAACTAAGCCTGTGCACCACAACTACTGAGCCTGCGCTCTAGAGCCCGCGAGCCACAACTACTGAGCCCGCGTGCCACAACTACTGAAGCCCACGCACCCAGAGCCCGTGCTCCACAACAAGAGAAGCCACCGCAATGAGAAGCCCGTGCACCACAATGAAGAGTAGCCCCCGCTCACCACAACTTCCGCGCACTGCAAGGAAGACCCAATGCAGCCAAAAATAAATAAATTAATTTTTTTTTTTTTTTTTTTTTTTTTGTGGTACGCGGGCCTCTCACTGTTGTGGGCTCTCCCGTTGTGGAGCACAGGCTCCGGACGCACAGGCTCAGCGGCCATGGCTCACGGGCCCAGCCACTCCGCGGCATGTGGGTTCTTCCCGGACCGGGGCACGAACCTGTGTCCCCTGCATTGGCAGGCGGACTCTCAACCACTGCGCCACCAGGGAAGCCCAAATAAATTAATTTTTAAAAAATTGGCATTGTCTATTTTTTAAAAAATTTTAGGCATTCTGATAGATGTATGGTGGTATCTCATTATGGTTTTAAGTTTAATTTCTCCGTTGACTAGTGAAGATAAAACCTTTTCATGTGTATTGGCCAAGTTTTCACTTAATTTACATGAATAACACATGAATATATCCTTGTTAGATAAAATACATGAATATAAAAATGCACTTCAAGCTAAGGTAATACATAAAAGGAGAAAGTCCCTCTAAAAGCAATTCCTCACCTCTACCCCTTGCAATCCCTCCCTGTCTTTTGAGCACTGGGCTTGGAGTTAGGAGACCTATATCCAGCCTTAGTCTGCCACTGACTTGTGTGAATTTGGACAAGTCCCCTTTCTGAGTCTGTCTCTCATCTGTAGAATTAGAATGGTTACTTAGTAACCTAAGTGGTTACTTAGGTTACTAAGGACCTCTTTACTTTGATAGTCTGAGCACTGTTTCCGTGATTACAAGAAACTCCATGTGTTGGGAATGGCCATTTGCCTGCATATGCATTCTCTCCATCTTCCTTAGTAATTGAACCCCTGAGTTTTAGCTGAGTACAGGGCTGCCCCACCAGGCTCTGTTTTCCAGCCTCCCTTACACAACTAGGTGTGACCCTGTGACTAAGTTCAGACAAGGGCAGAATGGTGTGTACAACTTTCAGGTTGGGCCCTTGTAAAGAAGCGTCATGCCCTCTTGCCCTTCTCCTCTTCCACCTGACTGAAAAGAGGACCTGATAGTGGGAACTGGACCCTCCATCTATGATCACGAGATAGAAGCGGAGATGTGTTGAGGATGAAGAACGAGGCAGGAGCCGTGACCCACCACCCCATATAGCTGACATAGCCTGGACTACTTAGAGAGAAACGTATTTCCATCTTAAGTTACCGTTATTTTGGCTTTTGTTATAATTACTACACTTGAATCCTGACTAACACAGGGTGACGGGGGAATGACTTTAAATTGGGTGTCAGGGCAGCTTTCTTTGAGGACGTGACACTTAAACCAAGATTTTAACAATGAAAAGGAAACAGCCATACAGATTTTGGGGAAAGCATTCCTGGCAAAGGGGACGACCACAGGTGCAAAAGCTCTGAGATCCCACCAGGCTTCCGTGTAAGGAGGGAGACCTTGTCAATCATGGTGCCACATCTCCCATTCCATTGTTTATAGGGACTGAACGGAGAGGCTGGTTATGTGACCTGAGCAGAACCAATCAGAGACCTCCAGAGATTTGCTATGTGAATAATGGGATAGAAAGGATCTTTCTCTGGGATTAAGGACCATCTAAGGATCATGTTGCTGTTAAGTGGCAAAAGCCCATTTTAGAATAAAGCCAAGCTGAGGCAAACACATCTGAGAGCTAGGAAGGGACAGAGGTCTCCAGGAGAGCCTTTGACCCTAGATCCAGCTACACTTGACCTTATTAGAGCCCAATTATAGAAACCAATTACTTCCTTTTTTGTTACTGAATTAAGTTTCTGTCACTGGCAACCAAGAGTACCCAGAACAATGCAGAATATAGGGTGTTATAAGTCACAGGCCCTGATATGTGGAATTGGCCGGCAGAGTCCACATGGGGCATATAATAGGTCAGGACTCCCCCTTCCCTAGTTGGGAAATTGGTAGTAAAATGTTTGGTTAAAATGCCTGTTGTTTTGGGGGACCCTCAACCATAGGCCCACTGAGGTAGTTTTAGGGACCTTTTTTTTTTTTTTTAATAAATTTATTTATTTATTTTTGGCTGCTCTGGGTCTTCGTTGCTGCGCACGGGCTTTCTCTAGTTGCGGCAAGAGGGGGCTACTCTTCGTTGCGGTGCGCGGGCTACTCATTGCGGTGGCTTCTCTTGTTGCGGAACACGGGCTCTAGGGCACGCGGGCTTCAGTGGTTGTGGCACGCGGGCTCAGTAGTTGTGGCTCAAGGGCTCTAGAGCACAGGCTCAGTAGTTGAGGCGCACAGGCTTAGTTGCTCCGCGGCATGTGGGATCTTCCTGGACCAGGGCTCGAACCCGTGTCCCCTGCATTGGCAGGTGGATTCTTAACCACTGCGCCGCCAGGGAAGCCCAGTTTTAGGGATCTTAGAGAAACAAAAAGTGAGGACGATGGAATGTGTCGGCTATTTGTGGTGGCCTTCAGGATGTCCCAGAGACAAGCTACCGTCCACGCTGGCACATCTGAGAGGGAAATAAAAAAATCAAATCTTGTTGAGAGAGGCCCTTAATGCTCACCAGATGCCTGGAAATCTGAGAATAAAATGCCTTGTTGATTGTTAAAAACTGAGTTCTCTGCCCAAAGATAAAATTACGACTAGCAAGAAGAAGGCACACAGCAGGAGACGGGGACTATGGAGGAGCCAGGCCCCCCAGGACCACCCAGATCCCTCCAGCTGCCTGCCTGGTCATTACTGCGTTTGTAGACAAAGCATAGAGGGGTGGGGGTGGAGCAGACAGTAGGCTGGTACCTCAGGTGCCGAGTCCTGACTCCAGAGGGTGCCACTCACATAGACCATGATGCCTGAAGGCAACCCCATTACTGGAACTACTAATACTAATAACTAATGTTAGGGCCATAATTTTGTTAGTTTATTAGGAGGTGGTATGGCACAGTGGGTAAGGGTAGAGGCCTTGGAGTTGGGCTCTGTGAGTTCAAATCCCAGCTCTGCTGTTTTTGGTGACTGGGGTTCTAGACCCAGTTCTGCCACAAACTTGTTGAGTGGCCTTGGGAGAGTCACATAAACTCTGTCGATAGAGCTTCCTCATTGCAAACCCAAGCTCAATTTAGGATTCCCCTTCCAAGCTTTCCCACCTCAGTAAATGGCCTATCAGCCACCCAGGAGCTCAAGCCAGGTTCGTCCTTGACATCTAAACTACCTTCTAAATCCATTCCCTTCTCCATCCCCACTGTCACCACTCAGTCTAGGCCACATTTCTTATTTGCACTTTGCCACAGTGCTGTCAAAATGCTTTTATAAAATGCAAATCGAGAGCCACTCATTCCCCTGAGTAAAGCCTTCAGATGGCTTCCCTTTCTCCGGGAATCATGAGAAGGCTCTCCCTCTTCCTTCAGCATGGCTTCTGAACCCCGGCACGCTCTGGCCCTGGTGTCTCTCTGCTCAGTTCAGGCCTCTCTTCCCCATCCTTCCCTGTGTTCCAGCCACGCCAGCCTTCCAGCTCATTTTAGCCCCAGGGTTCCCTCTGCCGGGAATGCCCTTCCCTAAACATGTCTCAGCTTGGTGGCTCGTTCTCCAGGTCTAGGTTTAAATATCAGACCCTAGGGGAAGTATTTTCTGATCTTCAAACCAGGTCAGGCCAGGTGTGGCCTTCACAGCACCTGTCACATCATTGGTAACAGGTTCGCCTCTTGGTTCTCCTCAGGAAGACTCATCATCACTCCACTCAAAGTTTACCCCTGGGGGCTCTCGACACGGTTATGTGCTCCCTGAGGGCTGTTTGTACCTAAAAGGCAGTGTCTATCTCCCATCTCCATGTGCCTAGAACAGAGCCAGGCCCCCATATGTGCTTGGCAATGATGAATGTACGATGGCCTTGAAGGATGTTCCCTTCCACACTAACCAGAAATGAGCTCAGGGGCCAGGGGCCAGGAAGCCAAGAAACCAAGGTGGCGGAAGGGTCTGGTGTGGCCCAAGCCCTGAGACCCATCAATGGCTGATCTCCCATGAATGTTTCGGGCCTCTAGGTGACTCTTCAAGTCCCAAAGGCTGAGGACAGAATGAGCTCAGATCTTCAGTTAAGTCGGCCACAGCTCTGGGGAAAACTAGCAGGAGTTAGAGGGGAGCTGCTTCTGACTCATATAATTCCAAATTTTATAACATCCAAACTAACCTTGCTTTGACTCTAGAGTTGGGATTCTGTCACTTTGCAGACAGGCAGGTGGACTTACAAACTGGCACCTCCTTAGCTGGGCCTGATCCTTCACTGGGGGGAAACATTACGTCGCGTCACCCTCAGAATGAATGGAAACCAGCTGCCCAAGCCAGAAACCCATGAAGGCATCTGTTGCCTCCCATTCCCTCCCTCAATCCCCCCAATGTGAAAGCATCAGCAAAATCTTATTCTATCTCCAGAATATATTCTGCTTCCTTCTCTCTCCACTGCCACCACCCTGGTCCAGGCCACTGTCTTTGCTCCAGGGGGTCACCAACAGTCTCCCGACCAGGCTTTTTCTGGCTCACCCCTCCATTTTTTTTTTTTTTGCGGTACGTGGGCCTCTTACTGTTGTGGCCTCCCCCGTTGCAGAGCACAGGCTCCAGACGCGCAGGCTCAGCGGCCATGGCTCACAGGCCCAGCCGCTCCGCGGCATGTGGGATCTTCCCGGACCGGGCACGAACCCGTGTCCCCTGCATCGGCAGGCGGACTCTCAACCACTGCGCCACAAGGGAGGCCCCTCACCCCTCCATTTTTTTCACAGGAGCAGAATGGGGGAAATTGGAACACATACAAGTCCTGGTGAAGATCCTTCAGATGGCTTTCTATCAGATGCAAAATAGAACCCAAGTTTCCTACAAGGTGCAGGATCTACCTTTCCAACCTCCAGTCCTGCAGCCCACCTTCCTCTTCCTCATCTGGCTCCCAGCGGCCCTGCCAAGCCCCTCCCACTGCAGGAGCCCGTGCACTCCGTCATTCTCGCAGCTTCTGGTGTCTGCTTCCCTCTGTCCTCTGTAAGGGTCTTTCCTTGTCCCTCAACCTCATGGAGGGCTTCTCAAGTGAGGCCCATCATCTGTTATTCTCTGTCTCAGACCCTTTCTTTCCCTAGAAGCACTATTACAATGTATAACTGCCTCGTCTGTTTTCTTGTTGTTTTCTGTCACCCCTGTTCTCCTTGTATAGATTCCACTCAAGAGACAAGCTGAGGTCTGTCCTGCTATACCCCCAGGACCCAGCATTGTGTGTGGGCACAAAGCAGACCTTCTCAAAAAACACCTCTTCAATAAAAATCCCTTTTGGTGGTGGCATCTCCAACCGTCAGGAACTCTCTCTTTGCTTCCGAATTTCTATCCTTAGGCAGTGTTCCTGCTTGTTAATGAATAATTCTTTTCTGCTCGTTAATGAGTAATTCTTCTCTGGGGTTATGGCTCAGAGAACAACAGGAGATCTCAGGCAGCCTGGCAAGCACTGGCCTGTGTGGGAATCGCCTTCCAGTGGAATCGCAGCAAATCTCAACTCTAAACCCAGGGTGTCAATCTAAGCCTCAGTCCCAGTGTGCCCAGCTCTGCTGCCAGAGGCCTCGAGCTTTCCAGAGCTTCTGAGGGTCCAAGATTCAACTGCCCTCCTTTTCCTTTAATGCTCCAAGCCTTCCTCCCAGGCCCCACTGAGCCAATGCCCCTGATTCCTGGTGGCTTTCAAGCTGAAGCCGCCCCTGAGGAAGGAGCTGGGGTGGCAGAGGTGAGCCTCAGCGTTGACCCAGGGGAGGGGTAGGGAAGCCTAGGAGAGCCCATGAGGATGTGGCTGTGAGTGGGGAGATGTGGCACTCTGGCAGAAACACCCAGGGCTTCTGGGTGCCTGCCAGCGCGTAAGCAGGAAGCGGGCACGAGCACACAGTTCCAAAAGCATCGTTTACTTTGGTTTTCACTTCTCCAAGGCTCAGGAGTTAAAAAGTTCTAGTTCTTGGGTCTTGCACGTTTTCTCCATCACTCCTTCAGCCACTGCAATAGCTGAGGCGTGTAGTAGGTGATGATGACGTCGGCACCTGTGTTGGGAGAGAAGCGGGAAGCAGGGGGAGGGCAGGGCGTCAGCTCGGGGAATACCTTCTGGGAGATGAGGGCCGGGGGTGGGAAGAAGGCTACCATGAAGAGGCACAGCCCACGGGTGTCACAACCTAAGCCTGAGTTCAGTTCGGGTGAGTCCTAGCTCTGTACGTTGTGTGACCTCGGGGAAGGCATTTTCTCCTTCTGGGCCTCAGTTTGCCAATGTATAAGACTGCACAGTGGGGGAAACAGGTGAGCTGTGAGTTCCCTCCCCACGCCGTATGCTTTACCAACAAAACCAGCTCCCATTTATGAAGTGATAAGCATACGCCAATTACACGTAGCATCTCATTTAATCCTCCTGACAACCACGCACCAGCTATCTTATCCCTAGTTCATAGGCAAGGACACTGAACTTAGAGAAGTGGCTTGGCCAAGGTCTCAAAACCAAAAAATAACAGAGGGCTCTGCATACTTCACTGTTCCACATTCTGTCCTGTGGTTTCATGTCTTTTCCCCAGCCTGTCTAGATCTCTGGCATTTCCAGGCATGAGACTCCAGGCTGTCTCATGACTTTATTTCCCTATCTGGTCAAAGTGCCTATCAGTCCCTGCGGCACATGTCAAAAACTCCCACCCCTGCTTGCTCACCTGCTCTGCGGAAGGCAGTCATGACCTCCAGTACAGCAGCCTTGAGATCAAACGCTCCGGCCTGGGCTCCATGCCACAGCATGGCAAACTCTCCAGAAACGTGGTACACGGCGAGAGGGAGCTCAGGGTGCTGGGGAGAAGCAGCGGGGGGCAGGCAGGTTGAAGTGGGGGTGGGCATGCCTCTGGGAGTATCCCTTCCTCCCTGCTCAATGTGTGACCGTCTTGAGCCCCAAGCCCTGAGTCACTGCTGCTGCCGGCCTGGCCCATCCTCGAGCTGTTAAAGCAGAACTGTTCAAAGGCTCCTGCGAGCCCTGGCGCAGAGGCCCACAGTGGTTCCCGGGCGGGGACAGGGACGGGGGAGGGGGAGGGGGGTTGCTGGGGATTCCTGTTCCTGGGAAGACTGCTCAACTCCGAGATTCTGCAGTCCCTCGATCAAAGGGCCCAGAATCTGTGGACACACTCTCATCTCCCCGAGCCCCCTCTGGCCTCTGCCCCGTGCTCACCTTGTTCTTTACCTCCCGCACGATGTCCAGGTAGGGCATTCCTGGCTTCACCATGAGCATGTCAGCTCCTTCCCGTACATCCCGGTCCTAAGGGATGAGTTACGGTGTGGGCAGTGCCTGGGAGGCGAGGTGACAGGGGGACAGGCCGGGTGGGGCTGGTGCTCTGGTCACTCACCACCGCGCGGAGGGCCAGGCCTCGTGCTCCGGGCGGCAGCTGGTAGCAGCGGCGATCTCCAAAAGCTGGGCTCGACTGAGCTGCGTCCCTGGGAATCAGAGACACCAGGGTGGGCTCCAGCTTTGGGTTAACGGGTCAGGGATTCAACAGCAGACCCCTGCCCATCCCCACTCACCGGAAAGGTCCATAGAAACAGGAAGCGAATTTGGCACTATAGCTCATCACTGATACCTATGGGCAGATAATAGGGGTCTCGGCTTAGCCAGCCCTCCAGATGTCCCAGGGTGAAGTGACAGGGAGAGAAAGGACCCAGGCCGGAAGTAGAGGTGTGTGTCCTAGTCCCACTGGAGCTCTGGGCCTTGCTTTCTCTGTGCGAGGTGCAGACACGGGGGCAGGTCTGGTCCAGGCTCTCTTACTTCCTCCCCACGTGCTGCCTGCACCCCTGCCCCTACCCTGTTGCCAAATCCATGTGCCATCAGAGCCTCCTTGATGGCTTCCACACGTCCGTCCATCATGTCCGACGGGGCCACCACCTGACATCCTAAAGGGCAGAGGGTGGCCTTCAGAACTCTGGGACCCTCCTATCCACCCTGCCACCTCCCCGACCCAGGGTGCCCATTTCTGCTGGTGGCTCACTCACCTGCCTTGGCATAGGCCAGCGCCACCTCTGCCAGCCGCTGGCGGCTCTCCTCAGCTTGGAACGACCCATTCTCACTCAGAAGCCCTGCAGGACACACAGCTGGGTTTGGGGGAGCATCCTGGGCTTTGGCCCGTCTCCACCGCAGTGGGAGTGCTGGTGGCAGCAGGGCTGGTGGAAGGAGGGAAGCTCACCGCAGTGACCGTGGGAGGTGTAGGGGCACAGGCACACATCGCACGCCACCAGGAGGCTGGGGAAATTCTTGCGCAACAGACGGATGGCTTCGATAGTTGGGGAGTCCTCGGAGTCTGCCGCAGAGCCTCGCTCATCCTAGGGACAGAGGAAGGACAAAGCGGAAGGACAAAATCACAGGAAGCCTTTGGGAGGCACGGTGGCCAGCCACCAGGGCACAGCCCTGGCTCTCTCCTGTATCACCACGACAGCCCCTGGATGAGGAGGCACGGGGAGGACTGTTCCCACTTTGCAGAGGGAAACCTGACTTGACCATTCAGAGCTGCAGCCCTACTTAGCTTCCTGATCCTACATGGCTGCTGTTTCAAGGGCAGTGGCTGTGTCCGTTCACCGGTGGCCCCAGGGCCAGCACAAGGCTGGAGCGAGGGTGTGATCAGCGTGCAACCTCAGCTTATCCTCACGCAGCCTCCCCCTCCCCTTCCCTCTGACCCCTCCTCTGATCTGTCACCTTGGGAACTCTGCTGGGGACGCCGAAGACTAGGACACAGCGCAGGCCCTCCTCCACCAGGGGCTTCAGCATCTCTTCCAGCCGGTTCACACCATACCTGCATGGAGGGGCTGAAGTGAGGCAGGTCCCAGGCTAGGGTCGGTCCCCCCACGCCTCTGGCCTGCACCTCTGTTAAGAGTCAAGGTGCACATGGCACCAGGAGGGCTCAAGCCTCACAGTACATGGAGAGGCAGGAATGCACCCACCAAACAGATGGGAAAACCGAGGCCCCACGTAGCAGAGCTATGGGATTCAGCTGTGGAAGGCCCCTTCAAGGTTCTGTTATTGACCTCCCATCTGAAGTTCAGCGTTCCTCTGCTGTGGCGCCTCTGGTGACAGGTAGCTCATTACTGACCGAGGCTGCCTCTTTTGTTGTGGAACAACTCTGCCCCCCGAGACAGTCCTTCTGAGCTGAAGTCAGCCTCTCTGGATCTTCTGCCTCCTGGGTCTGCTTCTGCTTCCTGTCACCTCCACCTGTGAAATTGCTCCCTCCATCATAACCCTGCCCTCCCCACTCCGTCTCCTACCTGGCCACTCCTGGGAGGCTGGCGATAGGCTGTTTGTCATCAGGAACATCCCTGCAAGAGCGGGGGATGGGCTATGGATTGGTAGCTGTGGGAAGGGCCAGTGGTGAGGGGGTGACTGGGAGAGATGGTTGGGAAACTCGGAAGGAATATGGAGGTGGAGATGGTGGGAGGAAGATGGGATCCAGTGTCTGGTTCCCCTGCCTGGCCAAGCCCAGGGCCTGAAATAATAATAGGAACAACAAGAATAACAGTGACAACAAGCAACTGTACTCAAAGAACAGTACTCCTAGGAAGGAGTCAAGTGGTTAAGAACTTGGACACTGAGATCAGAAGGTCCTTGCTTGCTATCCCAGCCACTTACTGACTGGGCGACCTTGGCCAAATGGTACTCTTTGAGCCTCAGGGCCTTCATCTGTATCCTGGGTCAGTTCATTCATTCATTCAACAAATATTTATTGAGCACTTATTATGTGTCAGGTACTGTTCTAGGCTCTGGCAACACAACAGTGAACAAAACAGACAAAAATCCCTGCCCTCGTGGAGATGACATTCGAAGGGATAATATCCGTATTTTTCTCATATGAATACTGTCAGGGTGGAATGAGATAATATACATCGGTGCTTAGCATACTAGTACCTGGGACACAGTAAGCCCTCAATACGTATCAGCTGTGCTATCATGACTGATCATGACTGCCACCTCTGACATGTACACAGTACTTTACAGCCAACAAAACATCGTCTCGGTTTCTGTCTTGTTGCAAAAACTCAGGATGAAAAAGGCAAGGGTTGTTTTTATTTTCCAAATGGGAAGACTGTATTCTCTTCAAGGTTTGTTTTTTTCTTAATGGCTGTCCTTAACCCAGTAGGCCACTTCCAATACCTTGAGCTCCAAGCTGATGGCCCCACTTTATCCCCGCAACACAGACACCTGCTCTGTTCACGTGCATGCACACACACTCAACCCACCCCCTGCCGATCAGAGACCTGGCTCATTTGCGGACTCACGTGACAAAGATGGGGTAGATGAGGCTGGAGGCACTGAGGCTGGTGGTGGTTGCCTGCCAGGTCCGAAGTAGTGGGTGGAAGTAGCCGCTGTGCAGAACTGACTGGGGCTGCATGGTGGGCAGGGGGGACAGAGGGCAGCCGGGTGGCTGGAACTGAGGGCTCTTGGGGGTCTGTCTCGTGCTCAGCTCTGTGAGGGCGACGAGAGGCGCATGAGACGTGGTCCCTGGCACCGGGAGGTGGTCACATACCCGCAGAGTTTTCCAGATTCCTGCTTCCCCTGCTCTCTACCCCAGTGCTACTCCTAGTGGGGTTCACCAATCCCTGCCGGTGTGCACCAAGATAAACAGGCACTTTCATGAAACTTCAGAAACTTCCAGAGCAAGTTGAATCTAATAATATAAAATCTGGGTTTGTATTTTATTTGGTCTCTTTTTTTAAAACAACATGTCTCTATTAATTCATTTTCATTGCATTTTATCAAAGAATCAGTCTAGGATGGACTGGACATTACTATGAGAAGCCCTGATCTAGCCACCACTTAAACTTTGCCTATTCCATGAACAATGTCCATGGCCATGGCAGAAATTTTAGAAAAGTACAGATAAGCAAAAAGAGAAAAATTTCCTGTAATTCTACCTCTAGGGGAAAACTGTTAACCCCTTGGTACAGGGACACACACTAAGAGGATTAAATCTCACCGTGCCGACAGACAGACATGCCTGTGGAGTGGCCATGGAGGCTGCTTTTCCAGCCCGAGAGCCTCCTGCCGCTCCCCAAGCACACTTGGCTGCGTTCCGCTCACCCTCTTTCCCTAGGGGGCTGGTGCTCTTTCCACAACTTGCCCATCCCCAAGTCCTACCAGGTTGTTCACCAGGCGGCCCCTCCTTCCCCCCGCCCTTGCAGCATCTCTTCTTGCCCAGATCACAGTCTCTCTTATATACCAGTTCTCTGTGGCCTTATCTTATCTCGTCCCAGTAGGCGGAGCTTCTGCAGGGCAGGGTCCACACTTAGTTCATGTTTGCCTCCTGCACAGCACTCTGCCACACAGTAAATACATTTACCCACATGAAGTACAAGACAATATGCCCTAAATGCCAAATAAGGGGTGTAAGACGGAAGCTGGGGCATTAACGTTTGTTTCTTGAGCACCTACTATGTGCCAGGCCATGCTAGGCACTCGCACACATGATTCTCATCCAGTTGGCACCGCAGTCCCAGGGGATCGGGCTGACTGAGCGCATCTCGGAGAGGCCGAGCCTACCATGAAGGAACCATGACTTCCAATGTGAGTTAGGAGGTCAGAAGCTTGTTGGAAGAAGACAGGACTAGAACTCGGTTTTGCAGGATGAGTGGGCTCGGCTTGGCAGAGGGAAAGGGGAGAATGTTCCCTCCGGAGGGGAAAGAAGGGGCCAGGAGGACGGGCTGTGGACTGCTCTGAGGACTGAAGAGGCAATCGAGGATGTGTGTTTGGAGGGGAGGGGCGGCCAGACCTAGGACGGGGAAGATTTCTGAGCAGGGGGCGGGGCAGGGGCCTGCTCAGAGCCTGGCTTTAGGAAGATAATTCTTGCATCCTGAGCAGAGCTGACTAGAAGCAGAGGAGGACAGAGGCTGTGGGGCGAGAGGGGTAGGGAGGAGGGGCCATCCTAAGGCGGCCAAGAGGCAGTCTCTTGGGGCGGATGCGCTAGCTTGCTTGACCTGGAGGGCAGCGGAGACAGGGACAGGCAGGAAGAGGGCGGGGGGAGGTGAGCTTGGAGAGAGAGGAGGTGGGGAGCTCCGTTTTAGACGCTTCCTTTTGGAGGTGCCTAACAGCCAAGTAGGGGGAAAACAAAGAGCCACCAATCTCTCCTTGTATGAATGGGACCTCAAGGCCCAGAGAGGGGCAGGGACTTACCCACAGCTGCACACTCTCTGGGCCTGGTGGGGGGTCCTTCAGTACACTGATGATGCCTTCCCCTCCCCCTGTCCTCCAGCCTCCCAGGACCCTTGGCTCCCTCCCAACTAGCTCAGGGGCCTGTTTCATCTGATCCTCCTCCTTGGCGGGGTTGGGGTTATCAGGAGCCGCACAGGATCCACTCCACCACCACACCCCTGGGCCAGCCGCATCATCTGACCCAGGGGCAAGCCAGGCCTCCCCAAAGATGTCCCAACTCCCATATGAGCAATCATTTAGCAGATACAAAGTCCTGAGTGCCCATTTTGTGCAAGATTTTGCTCTTAGGTCTGCCAAGGATTAGCCCAGCTCAGAGAGGTTAAGTCACTTGCCCAAGACCACACAGCTAGTGACTGAGCCAGAATTTGAGTTTGTTGTAGACAATGAGTGCAGGGTTTTACCTACCATACCCCATACTACTGATAAACACTTGATTCAGTAGGCGTTGCTCTGCCTATACTATCTCTGCCTTGGAGAGATGGAGGGTATCAGAGAAAAATATACTGAGTGTATGTTGTGTGCTGGGCACTGCCCTAGGTACTTTACACATATATATTATCCCATTTAATTGCAGAGAATTGTTCTAACTTTTAATGATAAGGAGACGGAGGCTCAGAGAGGTTAACTGACTTGCTCAATGTCATTCTAGAGTCACATCATATTTTGAAGGTAGGTCTTTGGGTCTCTAACTCACTTTCCAGAGAACCTTTATAGCAGCAGGCCCCCAGCTTCTGGAATCCAAAGCTGCATTCCACTGGCTTCAAACCCACATCTACTTTAGAAGGCTGAGAAAGCGAATGCCTTCTGCTTATCAGAAGCAAAAGGGCAGGGCTGCCTAGGGGCCTTGCAGTCCAATTCACCCGGAGGAGACTGGGGGTTTGGGGATGGGGGTTAGAGAGTGGTGAGGGGGAGGCCTTACTAGGGCAGTTCCACTTTTATCTGTTTTTTTTTTTTTTAATTTTAGGATTCAGAGAGAGATTTGAGAAATGGGTATTAGTGCTGAAAAAAATTTAAAAGTTGAAAATCACCTGTTTAATCTTTTACATTCTGCTGTGGAAAGTAGGGTGCAGAAAGGAGACAGGAGTTATTTGACATCCACAGCGAGTCAGGTACAAAGCTGGGCTTGACCATGGGTCTCCTGGCTTCTACTCAAGGGCCTGTCATCTGCCCCACAGGTAGTCATTCTGTTACATACATGCTTAATAAACAAACATCTGGTTTTTTTTGTTGTTGTTGTTTGTTTTGCTGTGCCACGTGTCACCTTAGTTCCCCGAACAGGGATCGAACCCGTGCCCCCTGCAGTGGAAGCGTGGAGTCTTAACCACTGGACCGCCAGGGGAGCCCCAATAAACAAAGAACTGTGCAGTAGAACAACACCCCCTGAGCAACAGAGGTGCTTCTCTGTTTGCAGAGCCAAATCCAGGTGGAGGTTTTGCTTTGCCAAAAGTCCCTGAAAAACTGGAAGATTTTCACATACTTGGAAGGGGCACTTCTCCCAAATTAAGGGAGCCCGTAAGCCACAGCTTAAATCCTGTGACACCACACTGAAGACAAGGGTGAGTCACCATGGGATGCAGAACAGCTTAGCTTAACTGGAAGGCTGTAGCAGGCAGTGCAGAAAGAGTAATGTTTCAGGGTCAAACAGTCCCAGGTCTGCTCTGTGCTCTGTGTATGACTTTGGGCAAGGTTGCAGAATCTTCATTTCGTAATCTATGAAATGGGAATGATACTATCAAACTTGCAAAGCTGCAGAGAAGATCAGAGATAGTGAAGAGGTACATGTCTGGCACAGTAGCTGCTCAGTAAATAGGCAGCTACTTTTACTATCATTAGGAGTAGAAGTGGGCTGACAAGACCTCCTGGAGTGGATCACAGCTGTGTCCTCTGCACCACACCCAGAAGGGAGAACTTTCACTCAAACCTGGATGGGCCACAGGGTCTCCCAGGATATCTGAGGTGGGGTCCTTGCCTTCCAGCAGCTTATGTGGTGAAGGAGAAATAGTCACCATACAGATGCTACAGTAGAGGGGTGGACTATATGCTATAGGAGGGACCTGTGTCTCTGGGAATCAAGGATGGATGGCTTCATGGAACAGGCAACACTGAGGGATAAGTAAAATTTCAGATTGATTGTGAAAGTATCTCCTTCCTTAGAAGGTAACTTCTCCAACTTGGGAGTAACCTAAGCTGGGCCCTGAGAACTACCACCCGGAGGGGCTGAGAAGAGATGCAGGGCCTGATCCCCTCATGTTGTGCTCCACTGAGGATTCCAGAGGCTGTGGTCTTGGCACAGAGGGTTGTGAGCTGCTGCCAGCGATGGCAGGCTCTGCCACTTGCAGGGGAGGGCCAGCTAGGTAGAAGGTGGCCAGGGCTGAGAAATCCAAACCCCCAGAAGGGCCCAGGACAGCAGCTGTCAGGCAGTTCTGAAAAGGAGCCAACTGGCTACCTGTTTATTCAAACTGCATTTCCTGAATATCTACCCTGGGCCTGCCCCAGTGCTAGGAACAGGGATTAAAGAGAAGGAGACCCAGGCCTTGACTTGGCTTTGAAGAGCCCAAATCTCCTCTGGAGCTAAAAGGAGAATCAGGCAGTTCCACAAATTCCTAGAACGTACTGACGAAGAGGTTCCTTAAAGCTTGCTGACTATATTATTGAAATGATGGTGATACTGGGCTGACATTGGTCCAAGATCCTGCAGGGGGTCAGTGGCAGATCTCGGGGAGGAATCCAGGTCTCCAGCAGAGAAGTCCTCAATGTCCACCATTACCCCTTGATACTTTAAGTATAGATTTCAAAGCTGCTTATCAGCGGAGCTGGGCTCCTGGAGAGCTCTGCGTGAAGGGGGTGAGGGAGGAAAGAGGCAGAACGGTGACTCCGGACCTGGCTGCAGATGGCAGCATGAGGGTTACGGGTGTGGGTTTTGGAGTCTGTAGATGTGGGTTCAAATCCTGTGTCTGTCACCTTCCAGCTGTCTGACCTCAGAATCCTCATCTGGTAAATAAGGACTTGAACAGACCTCAATGGGCTGTTGTTAAGACTGAATGGGCCAATGCATGTAACTTACGTACAATCCTAGCACAGAGCAGCTGTTATTGTTTGCACCTCCCTCCCCCATCCTGCGAGGCACCTCGGGCTCTCCACTGATGGAGACTACCCAAGCGGTCTCCAAGGGAATGGACCCCAGCCAGGAGACTCGGAGCCCAGACCCGGGTCCCCAAGGGCAACGGCCACGCAGAGACCTCAACCCCGCTGCAGCAGGACAATCTACCTCTAAGAGCCTAAATAGGAGTCCCAGAGTGACTCCGTCCCCGGCTGCACCGCCAGCGCTTGTGGATTACAGCAGAGTCTGGGTCTGGGGACACAAGACTTTGATGCCACAGCCCCTGCCTCCAAGTCCGCCATCTCCCCGAGTCCAGTCCCCACTCACCTGCCTCCCTAAGGAATCTGAGACGCCACTCCCGCCAGCACTGCCGCGCGCTCTAGTCTCCCAGGGCCCACGTGGGGGCGGGGCGGCTCTCCCGGAAGCAGCTCCCTCTCTCACAGCCCGTCCCCTACCGCGTGCAGGCCATCCCCACTGCGGGCACTTGGCCTGAGGACGGCTCCGGCCGATGCCACGCCCACTGACGTCAGCAGGCCTGGCCAATAGGGTGTGCCGAAAGGCTGAAGGGCCCGCCCCTCCCTACGCTGAGGTTCGCTCCTGAGCTGCGGAAGTCCCGGGGGAGCCCACTTGGGGGCGCAGGAGCGGCGCGGCAAGGGTGCTGCGTGTGAACCGGCCTCGAGGTTAGAGCCCTGAGGTGTTCTTTATAGCCCCTCTTTTCCCAGCCTAGCGCATACTTGGCACTGGTTGTTTATTGAAAAAGTAATTAGATGTCAAGGACATTAAAACAACACCATAGTGCCTAACACAATAACTAAGTCCATTTTTGCGGACTGAGCATTTTAAAGTTGTTGAGTTCAGCACCAGGCTGCCCTCCAAGTTTTCAGAGAAAATTTATTCCAGCGTAATTTCTCAGGGCTTACTCACTCTGTACCATAGTTTGGGAGATGTGATGTGAAAGACATGGGCACTTTGGAAAGGCTCCAAGTCTGATAGGGGCATCAGACCTGTCTATTATGGGTACAATGAGAGATTTGACCAAAAGTCTGGGGGGGAAAGATGGGGCAGGAGGGCTCTGGTGAGGCTTATGGGGCTTGGGTGAACTGGTAGCATCAGATGAGTGAAATAGGGGTCAGGATCAATACCCTAGCAAATTAATTCCTTTTTTTCCCCCTAAATATTTACTTATTTATTAATTTGGCTGTGCCGGGTCTTAGTTGCTGCACGCGGGATCTTTAGTCGTGGCATGCAGGATCTTTAGTTGTGGCATGTGGGATCTAGTTCCCTGACCAGGGATTGAACCCGTGACCAGGGATCGAACCCAGGCCTCCTGCATTGGGAGTGTATTAACTGCTGGACCACCAGGGAAGTCCCAGGAAATCCTTTGTGAAAGTGAGAGGGGGATTATTGAAAAGTCGACTTTGAACTGTGAAGAATGTCAGAGGGTTGTATTACACTTATTCTCAGATTTTATTTCTCAAAATCTGTACCCCAAACCTGTTTTATACCTCCTTATACTCCAAGTCTAAGAGGCAGAGAGGCTTAATGCTCGGAAAATATGACACTGCTTAGTTCCCAGCTGCTAGAGTTCTGATCTGTGTTCCAATAAGGAAGGTGGTGGAAAGAAAGTAATGCTTTTTTGTGCATTAAAGAGTTAGGGACAGTACCATACATTTTACATTCACTTACCTAATTTTGGTGACAACTATGTTACTATCCTCATTTTATAGACTGGGAAAATAATTGCCAGGAGATTAATTTGCCCCATGCCACACTGGGATTTCGCTTCATTGCCTGCGAACCATATTCCTTCAACTCACAGGGGTAATTACTATTTATTTTTTCCCCCAGTTTAGGTCCCCTGCCCAGCAGGTCTTTCATAACACCTCTCCTGGACTTCCCTCGTGGTCCAGTAGTTAAGACTCCATGCTTCCAATGCAGGGGACGTGGGTTCAATCCCTGGGCGGGGAAGTTCCGCATGCTACATGGCATGGCCAAAAACAACAACAAAATACCTCTCCTGTCTCTGAGTTTATTGATAACTAAAAATAATTAGTACCATTGGATACCTCCAAGATCCCAAACAGGGTGGAAAATTTAAGAATGTTGCTGTTTGGTGTCATCTATTTTTCCCATGTCACTCTTATTCTTGACTGAGAGACCTGTTCCCACTTCTAGCACCCCCCCCCCTTTAAAATATAATTTTACCTTAATCTGTCACTCTTATCCATAAAAAGTATTGTGAATGCAACGACATGACTCTTAAATGTAACGCTGAGCAAAAGGAGTCAGACACAAGAGAACATATTGTATGATTTCATTTATATGAAGCACAAACCCAGGCAAAATTAACCTGTGCTGGAATTCAGGATAGCGACTACTACTGGGGAGATAGGAAGTGACTGGAAGGGAGACTGAAGGTTCTTTTTAGGGTGCTGGTCATGTTGTTTATTGATCTCAGTGTGACTTTGATGGCTATGTTTAATTAATTAATTAATTAAATTTTTTTCTTGGCTGTACCTGTGCTGCTTGTGGTATCTTGGTTTCCCAACCAGGGATTGAACCCGGGCCCTTGGCAGTGAAAGTGTGGAGTCCTACCCTCTGGACCGCCAGGGAATTCCTTCATAGATGTCTTTAGTTGGTGAAAATTTATCAACCTCTACTCTTATTTGCACCTTTTAGTATGTATATTCTACTTACTAAGTAAAAAGTAAAAAAAAAAAAAACCCAAACTCCCACTTTATTGAGTGCCTTCCAGGTAGGTACATGGCACTGGGCTAAATGCTTGTGAAGAGCATAAAAAGAACCAGATATTAGTGGTTGCCAGGGGCAAGGGGAGGGAAGCATGGGGAATAACTGCTTGATTGGTATGAGGTTTTATTTTGGGGTGATGAACATGTTTTGGAACTAGATAGACGTGGTGGCTGTGAATGTGCTAAATGCCACCGAGTTGCTCGTTTTAAAATGGTTAATTTTGGGCTTCCCCATTGGTGCAGTGGTTAAGAATCTGCCTGCCAATGCAGGGGACACGGGTTCGAACCCTGGTCCGGGAAGATCCCACATGCCGCGGACCAACAAAGCCCATGCACCACAAGTACTGAGCCTGCACTCTAGAGCCTACGAGCCACAACTACTGAGCCCGCGTGCCTAGAGCCCGTGCTCCGCAACAAGGGAAGCCATCACAATGAGAAGCCCGCGCACCACAACGAATAGTAGCCCCCGCTCACCACAACTAGAGAAAGGCTGCACGCAGCAACGAAGACCCAATGCAGCCAAAAATAAATAAATAACTTTATTAAAGAAAAGGTTAATTTTATGTTCTGTGAATTTTATCTCAATCAAAAAAGGAAATTGGTTAACCAAATTCAATATGGGTTTTTTCTTAGCTTTGACAAATGTACCATGGTTATGTAAGATTAACATGAGGGCAAACTGGGTGATGGTTATACTCTGCTACTTTTCTGTAAATCTAAAATTGTTCAAAAATAAAGTTTAGTTAACAAAAAAATAGAAGCAAGGCAGTGGACCACTGGAACGGAATCCCAGCTTTTATAAATTAGCGGTAAGTCACTTCTCTCTGATGAGCCTCAATTTCCCATCTGTGAAAATAGGAGATTTTTTGTAATTTTGCATGGGTAAGGATGGTAATCCTCCCACCCTCCAAATCCAAATCAGAATCTCTAAGCATGAAGGGCTGTGGTTAAAAACAGAGGAGAAACATTACCTTGGCCTAGTAAGGAAACTTCAAAATCCGGATACCACTACAGGATTGAGAGAGGTGTGGTTGGGAAAAACCGGCGGATGACCTCAAAGATTCTTCCCAGTCCTTGAATTCTATAGTTTTAAGTTATAGTCCCCACTCGCAGGAAACATGGTTTTTCTTAGGTAGTCAAAGTTTGGTAAGAACTAGGGTCGTGTGGAAGAGTTCTTTGGGGGATTCATTCTTGACTGGAGCCTTATGTTGGGGTAGAAACATGTTACAGAAGGTCAGGTGAGCCCACCTTAAGCAGGCTTTGAATAACAACAGGTCTAGGCATGGATTTGACTTAACAGAAAGCAGTGAGGGACTGCAACATAGCAATGTTCCAGGAAGATCCACTTGGCAAGCAGTACACAGAGGAAGCTAAGGGAAGCAGAGATGAGGCAGGAAACTGAGCTCAAAGGAAGCCATAGAAGTCCAGATGGGACTTGAGGGCTTGGCTGAGTGGTGCTCCTGGGAATTAAGAAACGACATGTTAAAAAAAAAAAAAGAAACGACATATTTCTAGGGACTTCCCTAGTCGTCCAGTGGTTAAGACTCCATGCTACCACTGAAGGGGGCTCAGGTTCAACTGAGATCCCACATGCTGTGCAGCACGGCCAAAAAAAAAACCCAATATATTTCTAGATATACGCCCCTATGTTCATCGTGGCACAGCATTCTTTACAATAGCCAAGATATGGAAACAACCTAAGTGCCCACCAACGAATGGATAATGAAGATGTGGTGTATATATACAATGGAATACTATTCAGCCATAAAAAAAGATGAAACCCTGCCATTTGTGACAACATGAATGGACCTTGAGATTATTATGCTAAGTGAAATAAGTCCTGTGGAGAATACCGTATGATTTCACTCCTATGTGCAACATAAAAAACTAAAACAAAACCCCAAATAAATTAACAAACCAAACCAAACCTACAGAGAACTGAGCAGCAGTTACCAGAGGGGGAGGGGCAAGGAGGAGGGAAAAATGGGTAAAGGGAATCAACAGTATGGTGATGAATGGAAAATAAAATTTTGGTGGGTAGCATGTTGTAGAATATACAGAAGTAGAAACAGAATGTTGTACACAAGAAACCTATGTTATAAATCAATATTACGTAAATTAAAAAAATTACACAATTAGAAATGAATATATTAATATAGAATGAGCAAACTGAAGTTAAACTTGAACTATTTTGGTAATCCTTAAATAATATTCTTCTGCTCCAAAAGCAATCAAATACTTGGTAACAGTGCCTATGTCTAGTAGAAGCCACAAAGATTAGTCTTTATCACACAGAGTACAAATGTTATGCTGTGTATGTATCCAGACTTTACATTCTCCTTAGGCTACTATTATGAAAGAAAACAGATTATCTTCGACAAGATTATAAAAATGATTTCTTTCCTATTCTGAAGCTGCTCTGTTAATTCAAAGGGAAATGAAAATATGTATGGAAGAGAAAAACAAAAATAAAAACAAGGCCTTGCTGTGTACATGCCACTGTGCTAAAAGTCTTCTGTTATCTTTCAAAATTCTCCTTTTAAGGTAGGTATTAATACTGCCAATTTAGAGATGAAAAAACTGAAGTTCAGTGTATTTAAAAAAAAAATCATTTGTACAATAACCAACTATGAAGGACTCAGCGTATGCTGTTTTCCCAGAGACATATACTGTGACATTGTAACGAACTTGTAGAAATAGCATCGATATAAATTTCAAGGGAGAAATAAGAAATATATTGAATAGCTTTGTCTTTCATACAAATACAAATGTGAGAGACAGGAAAAAAAAAAGAAGCGATGTTTCTGCTGTGGAGAAGGAAAAAGCCACTGGACCTAATGAGCGTTGGGCTTGTGTATCTATCCGTGAATTATGATTTGAAACAGTTACGTAATCTAGAGGTAATACAGTGTCATAGCTGAAATCATGGAGATATCAGTGGTGTTCCTTCATAGGATTTAAGAGTTAATACTTGAAAGCATTTAAAACAGTGCCAGGAACACAGCAGGGACTCAATAAATGTTTGGAGTTGTTGAGCATCTACCATGTATATGACCAGCAGAGCCATGGGAAGCTCTCACTGTGGTTGAAGAGCAGCAGCGCCCCTACTTGTTAATGAGCAGCATCTGCTGGTCATCCAAGGTGACGCAGGATCCCATATTTATAAGGGTCTGGCTCAGTCCACACCCCAAGAACTGTACAGAGCATGATCAGTGGTCCTCCCCAAAAGCAAACTTACAAACAAGAAGGATTAAAGAGGAGTCATCACTTTTAACAAGAATTTTTATTTATACAAAGCATTATAATTTTCTCAATATTCTTCACTCATTTATCAACAAACTTTCCACTGTATTCATTTAACAAATTAACAGTGTCACACTACATTTCACTACCTTTCAACCTCCAAGCACTCAACTTAGAGACGAACAAAAAAGTGCTCGAAGCACCAAATGGAAAGAGAAGAAAACTAGGAAAGGTCAACAGAGATACTTCAGAAGCAGTTAAAGGGGATGGCTTAGGGGAGGAATTAGATTCCTGAGCACCATCAGATTTCCCTTATGGTTCAGAGAGGTTTACAAAATCATTTTTAAAAGACATGAGATTAGAACTAGGGAATCAGAGGAAACCACACTTCGGGATATTAAGCAGGTCATCCAAGTTCCTGGATTGGGAGAAGTGTGAAAAAGAGGGACAGAGAAAGTGGGAATGGGGAGCAGAGGAGAGGCAGAACAGAGACAGGAGGTGAGAAGCACAGAGGGAGAAAGTTGTGCCTAGAAGAAATAAAGTCTGGAACTTGTCATGAATTGGAATAATGAAAAGCCAAGTCACAAGTCTAGGAGATGGACTACAAGAAGAGAAAGCCTGGAATTTTATACCTTCCAGGAGGTGACAACAAATCCTGAAGCTGTACAGTCGCAGGCAGTGAGGTGCATTTAAGACTAAACCATCTGTTTTACAAGAGTAAGACGCTGGCAACCTTACTTGACTAATTCTACTCTGTTGATTTAAAAGCGTTATGTGCCGAGAACATAGCCACCCAAGCAGGTAACATGCCTATAGGCAATATAGAAGGGGTCCAAGCCAACTGAGTCTGTAGAAACCAAAATTCAGTTAATGTTACTGTCAAGTGAGGAAACAATAGAAAAGATTTCATTGTTCTCTTGAACCCTTATAGTAATTTCCTAAAGCTAAGCCATTCTGATCACCTGAAATAAGCTAGTATTGCCAAATCCTGTACAATCAGATAGGCTGACCATGATCAAACCCCAATTTTTCCTGAGCCTTGGCTGCCTCTGTGATCTGGAACACAGTCGGCAGCATGGAAGTTATTATTACTTTTTTGGGGGGCGGGGAGGGAATTGGGAATCAACAACTGCCTAACTATACGTGTAAGTAAACAAGAGAGATCAAATTGACCAATTAAATTAGCTCTTCAGAATCTCTCTTGCCAAAAAGTCATAACCTTGAGACTGATTAAGCAAAACAGGATTCCGCTACTCAGATGCTCCGAGTCTGGGAAGCGCTGGTTTTGATGATAATTCTGATGATAATTCAGTTTTTATTTCGATCTTCTGCCTAAGACTACTCTGCCCAGCACGAAAATGCTTCACACAAACGTGTACGGCGTTTCAGAGTGGTACCTTCCGAGCTACGTCTCCCCATCCTCTCAGTTGTCCACTTCCTCCTCTTCATTCTGTTCTTCTTCCTCCAGCCTCTCCTCATCTTCATCGTTGTCCTCATCCCTGCTCTTGTCTTGCTCTTCTGAATCTGTTTTTTTGTCTTTGTCCTTCTTCTTTTGCTCTGAAGCTTCCTTCTTGCCTTTTTGCTCCCTCCTGTAAGCTGTAAGGATGAAGGGGAGGGAGTTAGGAGGCAAGACTGAACCAGACTGCAGCAGCTAACTCCACTGCATAATTGGAAAAGCTGAGGCACAGAAGGAAAAATAACCCGCCCAGCACCACAAACAGTTATGCGGTGATGCCTGCCATCGGAGTCGCATCCAATACTTTGCTTACCGGACTTAAAGGCACCCCAGCTGATAAAGACTTAGGGCCAGGTGAGCAGATCATACAGGATGAACATCTACTTGGATGAGAAAACGAAAGGGTAGTTACCTTCCAGAGCTTCTTTTAACGGGGTCACGAACCGCTGAAACTCCATCTCCTCCATGGCGGAGAGCACATCGCTGGCATTCAGTGTCTTGCGTTTCCCTTTCATCGCGAAGTTGTTGGCACTGAAAGAAGAAAGATTAAGGGCTGTCAGATGCCCTCTTGCCGCGTACGGAGTGGGTGG